AGGTGTTCGGCCACCCACACTTCTGGGTCACACTGGTGTGAACACCAAGAGCATTCTATGGGCATCTGCATAATAATGAATTTGGTTGGTCTTTGTCCCCAGTTTCTAGAAGGTAGCCTCTAAACTTGTGGACTTTTCAGAGTGATAAGAGTGTCTTTGTTACCATGCTGGGCCCACACCTGTCAGTTTATGCTAACAAAGTGACTCAGGGTGGACCCTCAGATAGTGTATGCTAACCAGATCACCTCTGGGGAAATGAGGGTGCTGGAGTTTGAGTCACATGGCCAATGATTCAATCAATCATGCCTATGCAATGAAGTACCAATAAAAATGATGAACACTGAAGTTCAGGAGAATGTCCCTGACTGGCAATACTCTATACATTGTCACGCTTCTATCTGCTGGAAAGGTAACAAATCCTGACTCCGTGGGGAGAGGACAAGGGAAGCTTTGGGTTTGGTGCCCTCCTAGATCTATGTGTCTTTTCCTTTGACTGATTCATTTGTGTCCTTTTGCTTTATTGATCAATTAATAAAACTGTAATTATAAGCATAGCACATCCCTGAATTCTGTGAATCAGTCTAACAAATGAGGGGGTAGTGGAAATTGCCAAATTTGTAGCCATCTGGCCAGAAGTGATGGTGATCTGAGGACCCCCAAACCTGCTGTAGCTGGTGGCTGAAGTTAGGGATTCTTGTGGAGGATGGTGCCCTCAACCTGTGAAATAAGCCCCAACTCCAAGGGTCTCCAGAAGTCTCTGCAGCCTCCCATACTATCGTATCAGATAAATCCCAGGAAGCAAAAGATACCTGGGGCAGACCAAAGAAAGGCACCACTCCATCACACCTGAGTGAAGGTGGCCAAAACCTGTGCAGACCCAGTCACTGCTACATTGGCTAGAGGAAGCTGTGGAGCCAAAAGCATCTCCAGGGAGGGGTACAGAAGGCACCCAACACACCCTCCAAGCACAGGAAGGTGACTCCCTAGGCAGCAGTTCATGTGACAGTAATGATAATGCCAATTTGTCTGCCAGGTGTGGCAATTCACATCTGTAATCCCAGCACTTTGGGAGGCCAAGGTAGGCAGATCATTTGAAGTCAGGCATTTGGGACCAGGCTGGCCAAAATGGCAAAACCTCATCTCTACTAAAAATATGAAAATTAGCCAGGTGTGATGGCGCATGCCTGTGGTCCCAGCTACTCGGGAGGCTGAGGTGGGAGAATCACTTGACCCTGGGAGGCAGCAGTTGCAGTGAGCTGAGATCCCATCACTGCACTCCAGCTTGGGTGGCAGAGTGAGACCCTATCTCAGAAAAAACAAAAAACAAACAAACAAAAACTTGTGTTTGACTAATAGTAAGCCCTTAACATAAAAGTGTCAGGTGGCTGCCAAAAGAACTGGTTTGACCCTAGGCTGCGTCACCAGAAGTGATAGGGTCTCAGTTCCTAGGATATGGGCAATAACAGGCTTACTCCACATCAGTCAGATGGGATCATTACATGGGTGGTGCTGGACCCCACGCTCTAAGACGTGGGCAAATTGAAGAAATTCAAAAAATGACCAGGAGAGCAAAGGCATTAGACACTAGGCCATATGAAGAACAGCTGCTATCACTGGAGATTTTACCTAGAGAAAAGACTCGGTGTAGGTCCTGATGACTATCTTACAGTAGCTGAAAAGATAGGACGTAAAGAGGCTTCCAGCGTTTTATAGAGCTCTGTGAGGTGGAACGAAGTGGGTGAAAACTACAGAAGTCAGCCTAACAGAGTGTCAGCAGATGAAGACACAATGGGCAGCCTCAGAAGCCATTCCTGTCACTGGGATATTTGTTTACACAGCTTCAGCCACAATTCATGGGGACCCTGCAGAAGAGACCATGGAAGGAAAACAGTAGAGGGAGGAGATGACTTCTTGGTTTCCTTTGACAATGAGATTTAATGACTATGTCTAGGAGAGTAAATCAGTGCTGGCCCTCTTCTCTTCCCTTTCCCTCTGTGCTTCCCAGGCCCACTCAACAGCTGCCTGAACCAGCAGCTCCAGAGCAGCCTACTAAGGCTAACAGCGAGCTCCCATGGCTTCCACATATTTGGGGCTTGCATGTGAGTCAATGTCATGTCCGCTACATTGTATCAGCTTTAAAAATGAAAAATATTCAAAACTTGCCAGGCACGGTGGCTTACACCTGTAATCACTTTGGGAGGCTGAGGTGGGCAGGTCACCAAGTCAAGATACCAAGACCATCCTGTCCAATACAGTGAAACCCTGTCTCTACTAAAAATACAAAAATTAGCTGGGCGTGGTAGCAGGTGCCTGTAGTCGCAGCTATTTGGGAGGCTGAGGCAGGAGAAGCATTTGAACTCAGGAGGCGGAGGTTGCAGTGAGCCAAGATCTCGCCACTGTACTCCATCCAGCCTGGTGACAGAGCAAGACTCCATCTCAAAAAAAAAAAAGAAAAGAAAAAGAAAAATATTTAAAACTCCCCCCAAATATTTTATATGCTATCAGCAGTTCTGGTCTTTCATCAAAACTAAGCAAGCTAGATTATCCAGAAATTTGAGCTCCTTAGTCACCAATGCAGAACTCACACAGGGAGGAAGCTGCCGTATTATCCCTTTGCCACTCCTAATAAAGCCTTGTAATATTAGGTGTCATTTTATACTGTCTTTATATAGGTCCTTACCTAAGAACCTAACATCAGACTGATCCCACATCTGAACTAAGAGAACCTACAAAAAGTGTATTTATACATGAATAGTATACTATTAATGTGTTTTTAAATGGGAACATATGAATATAGAGCTGCTGGTATATATATAAAATGTCTGCAGATATACAAGAAATAAAAATAGTTGTCTGCCAGGCATAGTGGCTCATGCCTGTAATCCTACCACTTTGGGAGGCTGAGGTGGGTGGATCACTTGAGGTCAGGAGTTCGAGACCAGCCTGGTGAACATGGTGAAACCCCATCTCTACTAAAAATACAAAAAATTAGCCAGCATATTGACAGGTACCTGTAATACCAGCTACTTGGGAGCTGAGATAGGAGAATTGCTTGAACCCAGGAGGCGGAGGTTGCAGTGAGCCAAGATCGCACCGTTGCACTCCAGCCTGGGTGACAAAGCAAGACTCTGTCTAAAAAAAAAGAAAAGAAATCACAAACTATTCAAATTCCAATCTATACAAGTGAAACCTACACAGTTAAATGTCTTAATAGAGAGCTAAAAGCATTCATTAAGTTCTGTCATACTCAACACATTGATGAAGAAACTTTAAACAAGACAGCCTGATCTTTAGAAACTGGCAGAAAAAACAGGGGCCGTATCCAAGACCATTCATAGCAGGTCCATTCTTCCAACAGCTCCCAATTACTGTTTCATGAAAAGTCCGTATCATCCATCCAAGGTCCTAGAATATAGCCAGCTCCCTGCCATCAAAAGCAATAGTTACCAAAACCCAGTAAGACTAGGCTTGTTATGAAGACAAGATTGCAGAAATAAACGCATTTATTTCATGTTGCTATTTGAATGTGTAAACTCCCAGTAGGGAAAGAAAAAAGAATTCTGCTAGAGGAATGATGAAGTGAAACCTCAAACAATTTGGGCTTTTAAGTGCCTACTGTCATCCAGCCACAAAATGAAGCACTTTACAAAAGTAATTTAAGCCCAGTGATGCAGGCAGTAGGTATTATCTCCATTTTAAGATGAGGAAATTGAGACAGAGGAGATTACCTAACTCTCTCAAGGTTTCACAGCAGAGCTGGGGTTCAAACCCACGTGTTCTAGTTTTATTAGTTAAGAAACTGCAAGGGTTTGCCAAGTTGTCACGTGCCAGTCCAAGATAAATAGATGCTCTGAGTATCAAAAATATATATAATTTGCAGTAGATTGAAATATGAAGATACAAAAATCTAAGAGTCACCATGGAAGTTGCTGGGATATCAAGTGGTTTCTCTGAAAATCCATGAAGGAAAACAATGAAGCATTTTTCCAGCCTTTCTTATATAAACTATATTTCAGGGAAACCAAACAATTGATGAGGAAATTCTTTGTTTAGAAGGATTTTAGCTAATACATGCAGAGGAGTAACAAGTTTTAGGTGAGGGGTGGGGGTGGGGAGGAGAAATCACCATTTCGTAACTTCTAATAAAATAATAGGTCTAGGCAATAGTCCTCAATGGATGCTAAAGGATTAGGTGAAAAGTTGATGGAGAATTTCAATTTAGGGGAATTAGACTGATACCATCTGAAACCATTTGGCATCATTAAAAATGTGACAACCTGGTGGTTGCCAGGGAGTAGGGGGATGGGGTGGGGGAGGCAACAGGAGTTATAGTTTATGGGTACCAAGTTTCGGTTTTGCAAGATGAAGAGCTATAGAAATAAATGGTGGTGATGGTTGCAGAATTTACGACTGAACTATACACCTAAAAATGGTTAAGATGGAGCTGGGTGCAATAGTGCACACCTGTAGTCCCTGCTATGCCAGAGGCTGAGGCAGGAGGATCATCTGAGCCCATGAGTTCATATAGAGACCTCAGGAAGCACTTCTTAAAAAGAAACCAGCTGGGTGTGAGGGCTCACACCTATAATCCCAGCATTTTGGAAGGCCAAGGTGGGCAGATCATTTGAGGCCAGGATTTCAAGAACAGCCAGGCCAACATGGCAAAATCCCAGCTCTACTAAACATACAAAAATTAGCCAGGTATGGTGGTATGTGCCTGTAGTCTCAGCTACTCAGAAGGCTGAGGCAGAAGAATCACTTGAACCCAGGAGGCAAAGGTTGCCGTGAGCCAAGATCACACCACTGCATTCCAGCCTGGGCAACAGGGCAAGATTCCATCTCAAAAAAGAAACCTTCCCAGTAAGTGTAAGGAGACCCTAAGAGAGAGAACGACTGCCGATGTAAATGGAGCAGAGCACCACCAGGTATCACTTCAAGCACCCATCTTTAGAGAAGTTTCACAGAAACAGTATTGAGGCTACAGAGTGAATCATCTTTACCTGTTGTGTCCTGGAAACAGTGCCGCCACAGAGGTCTGAATTTGCAATGGCTGCCAACGTCCCAGACTGTGAAGCTGATGCTTTCATATTCAACCGTCTCCATGTGGAAACCTAAATGAAATAGTGGAAAATGTTTAATTATGATTTGTGCTGGTTGAACAATTCAAAATAATTTCAACATGTGGATAGTACTTTTAATTTATAAAGCAGCCTGCTAGTCAAAAAGCTATAGCCTTCAAAGGGAATGTGCTGGCCCACTCTTCCATTCATCAGGACGGGTGTCTCAAACCTTCTCGACTCTCCAATCTCCGGCCATGCACCTGCCCTTTCTCTCAGCAGGAGTCTATCACAGTGTACTTCAGGTCAGAGAAGCCAGCGATAGGGCGGACTTCCACTTCCACCATACAGCGTAAAGGCAATCTATATCTTCACCCCAGGCGTTTCTTCCACCCTCTTGGAGCAATGGAAGACAGCAACTCTCTTCCATAAACTCCCTCCATCCATGAGCCAGACCCACTCCACCCAGACTGTCTGGAACCTTTTACTATTCCTATTCTCTCTCATAACTGAATATCTCCAATCTGTTCACCTCAGCCTGCTTGTCTTTTACATCTTTAAAAAACAACAAAACAAACCCTTCCCTGATCCCCACATCTTCCTCTACACCCTCTTCCTTCACATCTTCACCCTCTATTTGCTCTTTTTTTTTTTTTTTTTTTTTTTAAAGAGATAGGGGCTTGCTGTGTTGGCCAGGCTGGAATGCAGAGGTTCGATCACAGCTCATTGCAGCCTCAAACTCCTGTGCTCAAGGGACTCTCCTCCCTCAGCCTCCCAAGTAGCTAGAACTATAAGCACAAGCCACCATACCCAGCTAAATTTTTAAAAAATAATTTTTTTTGTAGAGACAGGGTATCACTGTGTTGCCCAGACTGGTGTCAAATTCCTGAGGTCAAGCAATCTGCCCATCTCAAGCCTCCCAAAGTGCTGGGATTACAGGTGTGAGCCACCACGCCTGGCCTATTTGCTCATTTAAAGTCAAACATCTCACAGAAATGTGGCTCCATTCACCGAGCTTTCTTCGGTCATCTCATGCAAGAGCACCTTAGCCCTGCTCCACCATGTTGGGTGGCTGCTTTTCACTAAGGTTGGCAGTGATCATCAGGTCAGTAAATCCAACACATGCCTTTTCGGTTCTTCCATAATTTGATTTTATATCTGACACTCCTGCTCACTTCCTCCTCGACACTCTTCCCCAGCTTCCCTTTTCTATCTCTATTACTGTACCATCTCAGTCTTCTTAGTGAGCTCAGCCACATTTCACTGATCCTGCAAGGATGGAGACCCCCAGGTTTCACTGGCCCCATCCATTCTCCTCTTTCCACACCCCTCCCCTGGCAATCTCACTCACTCCCAGGGCTTCATTCCCATCCCAGTACTAACACTGAGATTTATAGCCTCCAACTGAGCACTCTCTCTGAGCTTCAGGCTCATCATCTAACAGCTTTGGCAAATGTCTCCAAGGCCCCAAAACAAGGCGATCAGTCAAAAATGGAACTTAAGGTCCCTATGCCCAGCCTCCTCCTCTGCTGGAGGAGCAATCCCCTCGTTGACTTGGTTCCACAAGCTGATAGCCTGAGAGGTGCCCTGGAAACATCCAGTGCTCTCACCCCTAGGACCCTCCTACCACATCTTACCAATTCAATCTCTTAAACAGCTAATAGTCACCCTAACCCAATAGACCATCATTTCTAGCCTGAATTCCTGAAACCATATAACTAATTTCACCTCAGCCACTCTCCCTCTCTTCATCCAGTCACCATCTTCTAATCAAAGCAATCTCTTAAAAAAACACATAGTGGGAGGCTGGGTGCCGTGGCTCATGCCTGTAATCCCAGCACTTTGGGAGGCCAAGGCAGGTGGATCACAAGGTCAGGAGTTCAAAACCAGCCTGGCCAATATGGTAAAACCCTGTCTCTACGGAAAATACAAAATTTAGCCAGGGGTGGTGGCGTGCACCTGTAGTCCAGAATTGCTACCTTACTCACGACCATCTCATAACTGGAACATTCCCGTTGGTTTCCCCACTCCTCAACTGATGCAATCTCTGCAGCTACTGCCCAAGTTGAAAGGTGATCATTTGGAGACTGGGTGCAGTGGCTCATGCCTGTAATCGCAGCACTTAAATGGGTGGGTCACTTGAGGTCAGGAGTTCCAGACTAGCCTGGAAGCAATTCTTCTGTCTCACCCTCCCAAGTAGCTGTATATTCACACACCACCAACGCCTGGCTAATTTTTGTGGTTTTTGGTAGAGATAGGGTTTCATTGTGTTGCCCAGGCAGGTCTTAAACTCCTGAGCTCAAAGCAGTCTGCCCACCTCAGCCTCAGGTATGATCTACCGTGCCCAGCCTATTCTTTATTTTTTTAATTTTTAGGGGGGAGATTATACTTTCAAGTTTGGAAATATTCCAATCAAACATAAATGTGTAGAGAAATGACATGACCCCATTACGTGGTTTTTGTTTATTTGTTTTTTGAGACAGAGTCTCACTCTGTCACCCAGGCTGGAGTACAGTGGTGTGATCTCAGCTCACTGCAACCTTTGCCTCCCAGGTTCAAGTAATTCTTCTGCCTCAGTCTCCCAAGTAGCTGGGACTACAGGTATGTGCCAATCTTGGCAACCTCCGCGATTCTCCTGCCTCAGCCTCCTGAGTAGCTGGGACTACAGGCATGCGCCACCATGCCTGGCCAACATGGTGAAACCCTGTCTCTACTACAAATACGAAAATTGGCCTTGCATGGTGGCGAATGTCTGTAATTTCAGCTACTTGGGAGGCTGAGGCATGAGAATTGCTCGAACCCAGGAGGCAGAGGTTGTAGTGAGTCAAAATCACACCACTATACTCCAGTAATATTCAAAATCACACCACTATACTCCAGCAATGCCACAGGGTGGCATGTATCCTCAGTCAGAAATTTGGATCTAGAGGCAGTTCACAAGGCAAAGATTAAGTTCTGTCAAAACTCACTTTACAAATCACTTAAACGGCCCAAAAAACACAGTGCCAGTTCACAGTAAGAGCAATGCAGCCAGCTTGTCTATTTCTGTAGCTGGACATCATCTCGAGCAGTTGGCTTGAGCCAGAATGAGGAAAAGAAATCACACTCCATCTCTAAGCACTGGGAGCACACTTGGTGCAGAGATGAGATGCTGCCACTAAGGTAGGCCAGTTGGAACAGAGGCTGACAGAGGAGGCACCAGCAGATTCCCAGCTCCACCTCAGCCTTCTGCTGGGACACTAACTGCATGGAGTGCGGGGAGTAGAACTACCTTCCCTGTTTTGCCCATTATCTTCTTCTTTTTTGCCAAGCAGATAGGGTTAAATTTGCTCAGCCTACATGTGTTCATATGTCTCTCTTGTGAACCTAAGAATGTGCAAGAGATACTGGCAGCCACTAGAAAAGGGTACATAATCTAGCCAGACATGCCTATAATCTCAGCACTTTAGGACACCATGGCAGGAGGACTGCTTGAGCCTAAGCTAATTTTGTATTTTTAGTAAAGACAAGGTTTCTCCATGTTGGTCAGGCTGGCCTCCCGACCTCAGGTGATCCGCCACCCTCGGCCTCCCAAAGTGCTGTGATTACAGGCATTAACCACCTTGCCCAGCCCCCTGCCTCTATTTTAAAAAATAATAAATTTTAAAAACTTCAAAAAGAAAAAGACATACATCCAGAGACTGTGATTTATTTTCCTTTTAAATTGCTAACGAAAGAAAGCTTTAGTACTGGGCGTGGAGGGGGAAAACGCAAGGAGGATAGCCAGTTTCCCATTCATTTGGACTCTAATGATCTCAGAGGGGAGCTAACCAAATTCCACAGGTCTCACCGCCGAAATTCAACAGTGGCCAGCAGTAGCTTAATATCACAGATTACACCCAAGCACACACATTCCTTTCTAGGACAAGAGAAAGCGAAGAAACAGAAATTATCCTGTTCACAAACGCGGTATAAGGAACCAAAGAATGATAAATGTTTTAATCATTCATAAAAAGTCCATTATAGGTCTATAAAAGTCCAGTGCATTGCAGCACTCAAAATCTTGCTGGGTGACAAAACTAGAGATTCCTTTGTTTCTGAAAAAGAGCAAATCTCATAGATGAGGAGACTTTTAAGGAACATGCTGGGGGAGGGAAGGTACTTCCCGCTCAAATGCCCCTTGAGGCAGATAGTCCCGACTCCCCCAGCCAACCGCAGAGACACACCTCCTTGACCACTTTCTCCTTTCTCTTTCCTCTTCATGCCACTAATGTGCCCCAGGTGCCCGCGGCCTGACACCCCTGCGCCGCCGGAGACCATCTGGAGTAAGATGCCTCCGACTACAGGGCCATTCTTGGCACGTTCACTCTCCCGGCCCCAAGCGCCAAAAGTCCATTAAGGAGAAACGTCGGCAAGACGTCAAGGGCACGAATGAGCGCGGTGGCCCAGGTGGGCGTGTGCGGCGTGCAGGCACACCCGGCTCCCGGGGAAGGATGCCGAGTACCCTTTTTTGCCTGGGCCACCAGGCCGCTTGCTCTCAACTTGTGGGCCCTCGGAAGAGCAGAGTGTCCTGCGTGGAACCCACGAAGCCTCCTCCTTCGGTTCCTCGCTGCTCCGGCCCTAGACAGGGAGAAGGAACAGCGGAGCCTAACCCCTTTCTGCAGGCCACCGCTGCCCTCCAGTGTCCCGCCCGCAGATGAAGTGGAGATCCAGCCAGGTCTTGAGTGCTGCCGCCCCGTCTCTGCAGCCCGAGACTCACATGTTGCCAGCCTAGGCACCACTACCTACACCACCGTTGACTCCGCTGCCTTTAGCATTTCGGCTCAGCTCAGCTAAACCACGACTGGCGTAGGGACTGGAACAGCAACTAACCAATCACCCACCGCCTCCTGGAGCTTTTGCACCAATGAGCTAGAAGTTTTGTGAGTGATGACAAGTCTGGCCAATGCAAAGAAGAGTAAGGGCCTGGGAGGGAGGGAGAGTCGGAGGGGATGCCACTAAGCTCTGGCACTACGACATTCATTTTCCAAAGACAGCTTACCGAGTCCCGGCGAGACACGCCCACATGCCCCACCCCCATGCCACGTGCGACCAATCAGAAAAGCAAAAGTATTGTCGATTTGCACTGCCAATCCCATGGGAAAATCGCCGAGGGTGGCGCTAACCCCAGAGCGTTCACACCAACTGGGAGCAGACGTGTGGGCGGGGCCAAGTGCTTAGTGCGGTGAAAGGAAATTTACCGCGGTTGAGTTAAACGTAGACACTAGTTTGGGGCGGCGTTACGCGTAGAAAATACCCAGACAATAACACCGAAATTAGGCATAAGGAAGGTTCCCTATTCCGCCTGAGCCTAGACTGCCCTCCCGCCTCTAAACAGATTTTCAACAGTTGGGGAAAATGCCACCCGCACCTTGTTAAGACGTCGCAGAACCACAGTCCTCGTTTCTGAGAAATGCTTTCTATAATCAGTTCCCTAAATGCCCACCTTGTTAGCCAAAAAGGTTACAAACGCCTGTAAATGGTACATAATTGAAATCATCAGAATAACTAACATCTATTAAACATATACTATGTGCCAGAAACTATGTCAAGAACTTTACCCTGTCGGGCGCGGTGGCTCACACCTGCCTGGAAGGCCGAGGCTTTGAGCTAGGAGTTCGAGACCAGCCTGAGCAAAATGGCAAAACCCCATCTCTACAAAATATTTAAAATTAATTTTAATTTAATTAATAGATTTAAAATTAATTTTAATTTAATTAATTAATTTAAAATTATCCGGGCATGGTGGCGCGCGGCTATAGTCCCAGATATTCGAGAGGCTGAGGCAGGAGGATCACTTGAGCCCGGGGAAGTCGAGGCTGCAGAGAGCCGTGATCACGCCACTGCACTCCAGCCTGGGCAACGAGGCGAAATCCTGTTTCAAAAAAAAAAAAGTTAGAAGATGATGCTAGAATTGACCAAAGAAAGAAAGAAAGAAGGAACTTAACCTGCCGGACCATAATGCACAGTGAATTAGAAACTTATCCCTGATGTTTTATAGAAAGATATTAAGTAGCTTGGGTCTGTCCCACAACTTAACATTTTTATTTTATTTTATTTTATTTATTTATTTAGACAGGGTCTTGCTCTGTCGCCCAGAATGAAGTGCAGTAGCATGATCTCGGTTTACTGCAACCTCCACCTCCCAGGTTCAGCGATTCTCCTGCCTCAGCCTCCCAAGTAGCTGGGATTATACAGGCACATGCCACTGTGTCCAGCTAATTTTTGTATTTTTAATAGAGGCAGGATTCCACCATGTTGGCCAGAGTGGTCTTGAACTCCTGACCTCAAGTGATCCACCCACCTCCATCTACCAAAGTGCTAAGATTACAAGCATAAGCCACCATGCCCAGCACCTTAATCTTTTTAAGCAAATACAAAATGGAAACTGCCTTCACAGGGTTAAGGAGAGTTACAAGCCAGGCTTTAGGCAGCAGTATATAGTTAGCTAGTATCCAGGGTGCACAAGTGTAGTTTGACCCACTTCCCTGCAGCTGCTAACTCACCGAACATCACCCAGAATGCTAGGCCACCTGCTACCTGTTTCCCCATGGTTCCTACCATGAGTAAGAATTACTGACTGGAGACTCATAAGACCTTTTTCCTCAAGAATTGCTTGTTTTTCAGATCCTGAATTCTGACGTCCCCCACAAAGGAAGCCACTCAACACCAGAATGAGAATTCTTGGTCTCCCTGTCTCATTACTTCACCCTTCACCTCTTGACCAATCATCGATCTCCCAAACCTCTCAGCGGGGTGGATTTGAGGTTTCTTCCCATCTCCTCATTCAGATGCCCTATGATTATTAAACTCTTTTTCTGCTGCAGCTGGGTGTCTCTGTATGCTGACTCACTGTGCACTGGGCAGACAAAAGCACTACAATTCCAGTACTGGACTTACTCTTCTAATTACAGTGTTTGTATGTATTAGGGTTAATATAAATACATATGACTCCTTAAAAATTAAAGTATGTTTTTCCTGACTATAAAAATTATATACGGTCGGCCAGGTGGGGTGGTTCATGCCTGTAATTCCAGTACTTTGAGAGGCCAAGGCCAGTGGATCACCTGAAGTCGGAAGTTTGAGACCAGCCTGGCCAATATGGTGAAACCTTGTTTCTACTAAAAATACAAAATTAGCCAGGCGTGATGGTGCATGCCTGTAATCCCAGCTACTTGGGAGGCTGAGGCAGGAGAATTGCTTGAATCTGGGAGGCAGAAGCTGCACTCTAGCCTGGGCAACAAGAATGAAACTCCGTCTCAAAACTTAAAAAATTGTGCATAGTCATTTGTTAAAGTACATGGGAAAAAAGACTCTCCTCACCAGAGAGAGAGGGAGAGAGGAAAAAAAAGGGGTAGGGGGAGGAAAAGGAGGACAAACAAATAATCACCCATCATCCTACCATCCAAATACAATCACTGTTATCATTTTGGTTTATTTTTATTTTTATTTGAGACAGGGTCTTGCCATTAACCCAGCTGGAGTGTAGTGGTGCGATTTTGGTTCACTGCAACCTTTCCTTTCCCATCTCAAGCAATCTTCCCACCTCAGCCTCCCCAACAGCCGGTACTACAGGCATGCACCACCATGCCTGGCTAATTTTTGTATTTTTTGTAAACAGGGTTTCACCATGTTGCTCAGCCTGATCTTGAACCCCTGGGCTCAAGCAATCCTCCCACCTCAGCCTCCCAAAGTGCTGGGATTACAGCTTGAACCACCTTGTCTGGCCAGCTCTTTAGTGCCCGCTCTCTCTCTCTCCGCTCTCCCCCCACTGTCTCTCTTTTTGAGATGGAGTCTTGCTGTATAGCCTGGGCTGCAGTACAGTGGTGTGATCTTGGCTCACTGCAACCTCTGCCTCCTGGGTTCAAGCGATTCTCATGCCTCAGCCTCCCAAGCAGCTGGGACTACAGACTCACACCACCAGTCCCAGCTAATTTTTGTATTTTTAGTAGAGATGGGGTTTCACCATGTTGGCCACATTGGTCTTTGAACTCCTGACCTCAGGTGATCCACCCACCTCAGCCTCCCAAAGTGCTGGGATTACAGGTGTGAGCCACCGCACTGAGCCAGAAGTATTTAATATTTAAAAAGGAAAGGCAGGCTGGAAGGGAAAAAATGAGAGTGTGATCACATTACTGAATTCACTTGTTGCAAGAGAAAAGGAGCAAGTAAGAGTCAATTACGTATTACTCTCGCGCTTACTATAAGATAAGGTGGCGCTGGTCTCAGTGGCTTACACCTGTAATCCCAGCATTTTGGGAGGCTGAGGTGGGTGGATCATGAGGTTAGGAGTTCAAGACCAGCCTGACCAATGTGGTGAAACTTGGTCTATACTAAAAATGCAAAAATTAGCCAGGCATGGTGGCACAAGCCTGTAGTCACAGCTACTTGGGAGGCTGAGGCAGGAGAATTGCTTGAGCCAGGAGGCAGGGGTTGCAGTGAGCCAAGATTGCAACACTGCCCTCCAGCCTGGGCTACAGAGTGAGACTCCATCTAAAAAATAATAATAATAATAATAAAATAAGGTGGGCATAGAGTAGTTAGCTGCATAGTTAGCTGCAGCCAGTCCCACTTAGAAATGAAAGGAAAGGCAAATTCTTGCATGACTCAGCGTTCAGCTTAATTTTTTTTTTTCTTTTGGCAGAATGAATTGGGGGTCTCAAGTTTTTATTTTCCTTTCACGAGCCTGTGAATAAACAAAGTTCCTGCCCACATGGCATTCAATTGCTAAACAATTATAATCATATAAATATATGCACATATACATACATGTTTTATATATATATTTAATACATATGGCTGGGTGCAGTGGCTCACATTTGTAATCCTAGCACTTAGGGAGGCTGAGGTGGGTAGATTGCTAGAGCCCAGGCGCTCAAGACTAGCCTGGTCAACATAGCAAGATCCCCATCTCTACAAAAAAATGCAAAATACAAAAATTAGCTGGGCATGGTGGTGTGCACCTGTAGTCCCAGCTGCTCAGAGACTGAGATGAGAGGATTGCTTGAGCTTGGGGGGCAGAGGTTGCAGTGAGCAAGATAGCACCACTGCACTCCAGCCTAGGAGACAAAACGAGACCCTGTCTCAAAAAACAAACAAATACATATATAGAGAGAGAAAGAGGGAAAATTGTAAAATGATATGCATGAGGAATGTATAAGGAAAAGGCGAGAAGTAGGTCTAACTTACTAGTGAATATATTCAGGAGGTAGAATTGTGATTTTTTTTTTAAGTAATTGAGGTAAAACGGTGTACTGATTTTAAAATGGAAAACTTGACTTATTTTTAAAAAATTAACTCTGTCAATTAGGAGGGTAGTTTAATTGAAATCACAATGGCTGCTCCAGGGAAGTTTATAAATCTCAAACTGCAATGACTCAATAAACAGGATGATATTGATTTAATAGGGTTGGCTTTTTTTTCCTAATAGAAAACACTTCTTGTCAATATAATGTTATTTGTAAAGCATGGAAAGGACAAAGTGCTCTTGGAAGAAACAGAGAATTTCACTTTAAGAAATCTATTTGGAGAAAGCTCCTCATCTCTGTCTTAGACTTTAAAATTAGTTAATAGAGTAATTAGGGTTATTTGTAGTAATAGTTGTATTGATATGGTAGTTAGGGTTTAAATGTCACACAGAATACCCAGACCACCTTCCCCCAAAGGCCACTAAACTTATTCTTCTAATCAAATCTCTGCTCAAGGGATGTCTTCTTCCTCTCTTGGAAACTGTGTTCATTACCCCAGAAACAGCCTTCCAATAAACCTACCCTTAAGAGAATCCTTGGCCAGGTGCAGTGGCTCACGCTTATTACAAGGAGGCCAAGGTGGGTGGCCAAGGTAGGCAGATCTCTTGAGG